AATTATATAGTACATTTTTTGCACAAATTAGTAGTTTATTCCCCTTTAAGAAAAACTCACCTGGTAGTTTTCAGCTGGAAAATCCCTAGCTCATGCCGTTTCTGGAAGATTCCAGGGCTCTGGAAGGTGCATTCCCCTTTAAGCCAGCTGTTGCTAGGCGGGAAAATCCATGGCTCGTGCCGTTCTAGAATATTCTGACAGCTGCCTATGAAAGAGGACACGCAAAGGCAAAGAGGCACACAATGTGTTTAAATATTAGCAACATGTAAATTATCACGTCGCGGGCTTTTATGTGGTAGTGTCACCTTATAATGGAGGGGGACTTTAAGTCTGGTTTATAATTGTTGAGTTATTGCTTGAGTTTTATGACTGAGCAATCTACGGTTGGTTTGATGGTTTAAGCTGTTAACGGTAGGGATGCACCGATATATCGGCCGCCGAAACATATCGGCCGAAAATGGCACTTTTGGCATAATGCCGAAAGAGCCATGTTTCGGCCGATACATCGGCGCATCCCTGGAGAAAAGTGACAGCCGGCCGAGCGCTGCAGGACGAGAGCGCTGTGAGCGGCCGGCGTCTCTCCTCCCACACCGCTCAGCCGCCTATCACAGTCCGGCAGAGCGGTGTGTGGGTGGAGACAGCCATCGCTGTCACAGGAGGCTGAGCTCACCTCCCCGCTCCACTGGATCAGCCTCCTGTGACAGCGTGTCAGAGAGGAGAGCGAGCACAAACACTCAGCAATCAGTGATCGCTGAGTGTTTGTAAATAATTGAGGATATGGTATGTTAACTATATCCTCAATTACGAATGAATGGGAGTGACCTGCCTCACCTCATGTTCATTCATAATTGTAGGTATAGTAAACATACCATGTCCTCATGTTACCAATGAACAGGAACACTCATTCCTGTTCATTGATAACAGGGGATACAGAAAAAGAGATCGAGGACTTCGTGTCCTAAATTTTTTTTTTATAAAAACATTTTCGGTATCGGTTTCGGCCTGACAATGTTTTTTATTTCGGTTTCGTTTCGATTTTAAAATTTCCATTTCGGTGCACCTCTAGTTAACAGTTTTGATTAAATTCAGTTAAACAAAATTAATAAACCAATAAAAGTGCCGCGGCCATTTTTCTTCCTAATATTTTGTTGTCTGTGTCGTTGTTTTAATATGTAGTACCGCCTGCAATTCCATGATTTTGGTTGCTTGAGTTGTAATGACTAAGCAATTGATGGTGGTGAATGGATATTTGGTTATTCAAGTTTGATTCAATAAAGTTTAATCGATATAATACCAATAAAAGTGCCGCGGCCAATATTTGTCAATATACAGTTGTCTGTGTTATTGTTTCATATAAGTAATAGTTTGGGTATCCTCTGCAATCCCATGGGCCCATAGAAGCATCTTTATTATTATGATTATTATTATAATTAGGGATGTCCCGATGCCACTTGTTCAGGACCAAGTACAAGCACAAGTACTTCCCCTCATGTATTTGCCGATACTTTTTCTTAACAGGACAGGTGACTTTAAATGATCATTCCTGTAACTACATGTTATGTACTATTATGTACTATGGATCATGATTTAACCTATTCATGTTAGCAGCGGAGAATTGTAACTCTATTGCTGGAGTGTAGTGGAGGTGTGTGCTGTATATATGTACTACATATACATTACACACGTCCAGTACACTATAGCAATAGATTTACAGCCAGCCCTGTCCCAGCTTCCCTCACTCACAGTTTCACTCCGATCCCTGTTGCCTCACGCGGTGCCTCTTGTAGTCGTCGCTGGGCAGGATCGCTGCATCGCATCTCAGTGCTCAGCTTGTGGGAGGCGTTCACAATTCTGCCCTGCTAACATGAATAGGTTAAATCATGATCCCCAGTACATATGTCCCTTACACTGCCGTAATAGAATTACAATTCTCCCCTGCTAACATGCATAGGTTAAATCATGATCCATAGTTCGTTGCGTCACTGCTGCTCCGGTGGGCGGCGCTCCAAGCGGGGTCATCTGGCAGTCTCCGGCCACCTAAATTAGGACCCCACCTGGAGCTCCGCCCACGGGAGCAGCAGTGACGCGACGCTCGACGAGGTAAGAAAAAAAAAACATAGCACAAGCTTCGCGCTAGGCATCGGGGCATTTTGACAAGTACAAGTACTTGTCAAAATGCCCTGTATCGGGCCCGATTCCGATGCTAGCATCGGTATAGGGACATCCCTAATTATAATACCGCATTTATATAGCGCTAACAGTTTGCACAGCGCTTTACAATATAAGGAAGACATTACAATCACAATACAATTCAAGACAAGATGGTAAGGAAATGCATATAAAGGCAGGTTTGTGAATGAGGCCCTGCCATGACAAGTACAAAGTGTGCTGTTGTTACAGAAAGAAGGATGGGATGAGTGTTGTTTTCTTTGATTACTTCCTAGGATAAGGGATAGGATTATTTAGGTGAACTAGCTTTGGCCTTTTATGTATACAGGAGACGCCTGGCTTCTTTAGCTGAGACACACCCCATGCTGCCAGTGTCTTGTTACCAAATCTAGGAGGGTGGGGTGGGATCATGTAGAGCCTCCTGAGCTGGCTGCCTATTGGTCCTGATCGGCCCCTGGACACATTTTGGGAGGAGAATGGTACAGGGGGATGGAAAGTTCTTTGCAGTCTGATTTGTAACAGGGTGGAAAGTTTTGTGCAGGCTTTTCCTCCTGGAGCTGCTGATCTCGCTGTACTGGTAAGTGAGTCTCTGAAAGCTTTGCAGGGTTGATGATTGTGATCGTTGTTTACATAGACTTTCTTCTATTTGTGTAACAAACAGCTGGCCGCACATTGGGACAGAAAACGCACATCATGACGGTCAGACTGCCCGCTCTCTTCTGTTTGCTGTTCCTTATTACAGGAATCAGAGGTAAGATCACCTGAATGCAAAGGCTCAGTTCAAGCTTTAACACAAGAAGAAAGCCTCGGGTGTTGTGTTCACGTGTGTGTGTGTGTGTGTGAGCTGCAGGCTACAGCCCTGTCTTTGTGTACGGCGTGCGATTTGCATGCCTGGGGTAGAGCAGCTGACAACTGTTTCGGGCTTTCTAAATATAACCTGTGTGGATGTTGTGAAAGGGATGCCCCTCCACCATGCAGTGTGTGAATGCCAGCTCTTTGTCTCATCAGTCTGCGTTTTGGGTGGGGCACGAGGCTCATTGTATAGGTGAATAAAGGGGATTGTAATTAGCTGTGTGTGATCAGTGAGGTGAGTTCCCACCCCTCGACCAGTCTGAGCACATCAATGGCTCACATCTTCAACAATGGCTGAGACGTCTAAAGAGCCACTTCACTTCTGTACAATGTCTGCTCAACAATATACCATCACCTTTTATTTATTATATGCACTGGCCATGCACGCCTTGGATTTCTCACTTCCAGGAGTCCGTCGAACATCTAAATCGCGTGTATGGAGTTATCACTGCTGCCGGCTTTTGTATTCAATTACCCAAACAGCGTCTGCGTCTGGTTGGATGAAGGCAACGTTCAGCTCAGCGTTTTCAGACCGACTCCATTTGACAAAAGCCTATTTTAAAAACGGATTTTTGTCGTGAGCCGGGAGGGTGGGGGACTGAAATTCGAGTAGTGTATGGCTAGCTTTAGAAGAATGTATTAATTTCCAGGCTTGACACCGAATTCTCACAGCCTGGAGTCTTGGGGAAATTGCTCATCTCATAACTTGTATTGGTAAAGTTAGATTAATAATATTATTGTTTTTATTATATTGTTATAATATAGCGCTAACAAAGCCGCCCTCTTCAAAATAATAGGCAACAGTACAGTTACAATACAATTAAATTCAATACAGTTATGAGTGGCTCGTTAGAACCAACTTTGGATAACACTGGATTTATATTTGCTTTATGTTCCTATGCACATTGCATAACTAATAAAATATACAAAAAGTTCTGCCTACATTTTTAAGTGCTTCATACTGGCTTCAAAATCCTACCTAACCTCCCCCCATGTAATGTTAAGGAGGGGGCTGGGGGAGCTTATATTTACTCTAATTAACCCTGTCTGTACTGTGCTGGCAGATCTCATTATCAGGTGTGAACTAGATTTGAACAATGTCTGTGAAGGTTCTCATTCATCCAGGTCATGGTATATCTGTAAAAACAATAAGTCAAGGCAACTGGACTTGCTGTATTTTTCTTGAAGACGTTTCACTGCTCCTCCAACCAGCTTTCTCAATTCAGAATGACTAGCTGGTTCAATTATGAGTTGAGGAAGCTGGTTGGATGGCCAGTGAAACGTCTTCGAGAAAAATACAGCAAGTCCAGTTGCCTTGACTTATTTTTTTACAGATAATGTCTGTCCTAACGCCAACAGCTTGCGCAGCGCTTTACAAAATAGAGACCGTACAGTTACAATATAATGCAAGACAAGATGGTTAGGAGGGCCCTGCTCCTGAGATCTTACAATCTAGAAGGGAGGGGCAAGTGATACAAAAGGTAAAAGCTGAGTGTGGATGGAAAATATAAAAGTTCAGTCATTAACTTGAGGCAGGGTAGGTTTCCTGATCGTAAGGGCTTGTTCACACAAAGGCTGTGCGTTAATCGCATGGTTTTTATGAGATGAATGCACTTGTGTTACAGTGCAGAATGGCACCCCAAATGCACCGCCCGGCTGCAATGCGCTTGACTGCACCACAACGCGCAGTACCACAATATAGTGTGTTGCCGTGCGGTTGAAAAAGTTAGTGTATGCACCACATTGCATGGTGAAGCGGTACAGCGCATTGTGGCGTGGTTGAGCCCATTGCGGCCGGAAGGTTCATTTGGGGTGCCACTCAAATGAATGCAAATGTGATGCACCTGTAATGCACAGTAACACACATCCTTGGTGTGAACTGGCCCTCAAGGAGCTTACAATCTTTTTTTCACTTTCATACATACATACATACTACTGCTGATTTAGACATGAGTCAAATATCCTACCAATATGTCTTTGGAGTGTGGGATGAAACCCATTCAAGCATAGGGGAAAAAATAAAAACTCCATGAAGATAGTGTCCTGGGCAGGATTCCAGTCGAGTGCTGCCCTGCTTTTCTTGGCTTTTAGTTTGAATGGAATGTGGAAGCATTTCTCAGAATTGTTTTGCTTGATGTTTATTATTAATTCATAGGAAAGCAGCATTTAATCAATCGGAATGCTGAGTTTGGCTATAGACTGGCAGATGCTACCTATTTGTCTGTGGTGAAGGATTTTTTTTTTTTTAACCTTTTGTGGTACATGGACCAGCTTCAAACTAAAGAACCTTGCTTTTAGGAAGTTTTGAATATTGCATACATTTCTTACTGACTTCATATTAGCTGAGCGTCTTAAGCCAATAGTTTAAAGAGCAGTATGTAAAATGTAGATAACACTTCTGACCTGTTCTCACCTAAGTTGGGTGTGGTTTAACATGCATTGCATTAAGGCCATTTGAATGGGCTATTGATTGACCACAAAAACATACACAGAGCGCTACCATACTTTGCGGTATGCCAAACGCACGTGTCAGATGTGGGAGGCAAACGCACGTGTCAGATGTGGGAGGCAAACGCACGTGTCAGATGTGGGAGGCCTTAGTGAATTGGGGAGCTAATTGAAAATGAATGCATGTATGGAGCATTGCCATGTATTGCAGTAACATGTGCTTTACTGCAATGCACCACAACCCAAAGGTGTGAATAGGTCCTTTAAAAATGTGGTTAGTAAGCATGGCATTGTGAAACTGTATTACTTGTTTTATGGATATCTATCTTGGGTATTGTTATTAAGCAGCAAAGTTTTCCTAGAATTGAAAATAGTAAAATGCTGGTGACGATGGACCTAGCGGATCTCTTTACTGATCCCATAGTGAAAGTTTGTTGTCTGGTGTCCCATCACATATACTCCAACTAGCATCACATAATGAGTACTGTACTGCATTACGATATGTGCAATGTTAAAGAGTGGTGCTGTTCACATGCCTTGTCCCTTACTTTTTTGTTCCTGTGAAAATGCTTCCAAACTGTTCCAGTTTAATGTCTGTACTTGGCATACTTTTGTATGAAAAAAAACATGCATGGGGTCTCTCTGTGTAGGCTTTTGATGCTATGAAATATCACATGCTATTCAGCCAATGACATGGCAGTTCTTCATAACATCACATATGGTCCTCCTGCCTTTACTGCAATAAATGCTAGGGAGTCTTGACATTCTCTGTGCCACAGGCACCAGAAGTATGTGCAGTGATCAAGAAAAGTGTATGTGTAGTCAGCCTCTGAGTGGTCTGAAGCCTCATGGGAGTTGTAGTCATCAGTAAAGTTTTTGGGAGTTTGCACGGGGTAGGTGTAGTCCTGTAGTATTGATGGTGCTTGAGGTCTCACTGCTCCAGTATATTCTGTAGGGCTATTTCACACTCAGTCTGACATTATGCTGGATATTCAAAAAGGAGTCACTACCACACTAATCTGCCTGGCTAGTAGAGTCTCTGAGCTAGCCAGGTTTCTGGGGCAAGGTGGAATTAAAGCCAGACACCCACCACCTCTTCCTAAATGCAGGGTAAACAATATTAAGGACACTTGTATTGAGTGTAAAGCAACGTTCCCTATTCCCCTTTTGTCAGGGAGAACACATTAATCATTGGTATGTCCTCCTCATGGTAAAGGAACATTCCACCCTAAAGTATTCTTTTAGGTTATAGATGGAACAAGGTGACCTCTGTCACCCCCAGGCTTCTTTTGTCTTGAATATGCTAACCATGAGATCTCCCTGCCCTAGTTTTCTATCCACCTGTGAATTTTGGGTGTTGATGCCCACCTTCACATTCCTGATTTAGGATCCTTGCCAGGACCTGTAATTTTACTTATATAATTAAGTAAAAGTATTTTTTCCCACAAACTGCCAGTAGTCCTTGCCAGATTTGGCAGCGAGGAGTCGCTCCTACACCTCCGGTCAACTCTGCCTATCCTCCTAATGTAAAGTTGCCAGCGAGAGAGCCTACATTAATATAATATAATGTAAAACAAGTGTATAAACCAGCACTTTCTGTTAATGGCAGTACCTCACCTCTTGGGGCCATTTCATACCATAAGTATCGGGCTATTTTGCTCAGCGTAGGCCCAACACAATGACTATCCAAAATCCATTGTATCCATTAGACTTAGTTCACACCAACATAATGCACTGATGTGCACTGGCTATAAAAAAGAATGTGCTGCATTTAATTGCACTGCAGTTTTTTATAATGCATCACAGCATGCTGCAATGTACATTAAGAAAAGGTAAATAAAGTATTTTGGCTCCAGCTAAAATTATAACGAATTGCACCTCAGTTCAATGCAATGTGTTAAATGCATGCATGTGAACACAGCAACTCTGGTGCATTTAGTCAGTTCACGCTAAACACAATGGGACTGGTATAAATCCAGCTTTAGGGTGTTCTGTAATTCAAATGAGTGCCTAGCAATGGTACACCCTCACCCATCTCGTATCCTTTACATTTGGCCCATCAGAATGAAGGGCAGCCTCACTAAACAATAGAAAGGCACTTGGAGTGGTTAGGGTGTGCCAGAGCTGGTGAGCACAGGAGCTAGTCATTATTTGCATTACATCTTCATTTTGGGGCCCCAGGGTTCTCTTCAAATCAGAGGTGACATGTAATTTTTGTGTACAGTAAGGCTGGTCATACACGTATGTGGGCTATGTGAAAGAAAATGAATACATGTCCCCAACCACAGTAAGCGGAGGAATGTTCAGTGCCGGATATGATATTCATACACCCGTGGTTTCAATGCTTGAACAGTGACTATCTGATAGATTGCAGTCAATGTGCAGCTGACCATTCCCCCCCGCTTCCTTTGATTGGTCAGTCAACTTTTGTGGAGCCAGGACCACCCATGG